CTGTAAGATCACAGGATCTTTGTGCTTTGGATAAATTTAGGTCTCGGATTCTCTTAGGATGGAACAATTTTTTTTTTCAAATTGAATTTCCATGAGTCCCTATTACCCTGTATCACACCCTCTTGCCTACAATACATAGCACACACTGCACATAGCTTGTCTTAGCTAATAATATTCACACCCCGAAAAGTAGATTGTTTGAGGACCATATCTTATATTTGGCTCAATTCTCTTATCTTATCTTATAGAAAAGAAAAGCCTATCCATTTAATGCATGTGCATGTAGACTACAAAGGAAATCTTGTGACTCCAGAAGACAGGAGCACTCCACCCCATTCAGCTATTTATTCTTTGGTAATATTTACTAAATATTTACTGTGAGTCAGACAAGTTCCTTAGCTCTGCATTCGTGGTGAACTAGTTGTAGAACTTGCTCTCAAGCGTTAGTGCCCTCTAGTTTTGAGACATGCTAGTCATCAATACAAAAACACAGAACGCTGGTAGAACCTTACCTACTCTTCTTCAGCCTCCTGCCTAGCATGCATAACATGCTGGTTTGACCCCTAGTGCTGCCCAAAGTGTAGTGGCAGAGATGGCACTATAGTGGCAGTATAAAAGGAGTTCAGGGTCATCGCTGGCCACATGCATAGTTGGAGCCCCGCCTAGGCTACGTGAGACTCTGTTTACAAATCAACAAAAGGACATGATGGAAGGTGAGCTAAAATGCAATATGAGAAATTCCATTGGGAAGAATTCTCCTTTACCCAGAACAGATTCTGATGGTTAATTTGCCTGGGTTCCTGTCCTCTTATCTACTCTTTCCCAGTCTCCTTTTTCTCCAAATCTGACTAATACCTCATATTCTCCAACTTCCCCCTTCATGTCTGTCTTTAAAGATAAGCACAGAAACCCTCTGTGTCTATAAGTAATTTTCTGCTAATAGTGATGGGAAAAGTGAGAGAGGAAGGACAAAATTAATGCCTGTGGGGAAGTCACAAAGCTTCTGGAATGGTGCCTTTGCACACTGGCAGAGGGTGAGCACTTAGAAGCTGCCCAGTGAGAGGACAAAGGGAACTCTATTACCTGAAGTCAGCCTTCTACACTTCTGGAGACTAAACAAAAACAAATCCTCTGCCTTAAACATCCTTTCCTATATGGGCATCTGTGAAAGTCTGTTAGTATAGTCCTTAGAAGTCTTCCTCTATAAGCTAGGGGACAACTGCTTCAGGAGCTTTGAGTGAACAGATGTGGATTGGCAATACAAGGCCATGGGAGTATTTTCATCATCATTAGAGGCAGTCCACCTGCTTGAAGTATATCCCACTTAGTTCATGAGGTGCAATCAGCAATTGCCCATGTCACCCTCTTCCTTCCCCATGCTGTCATGTAGACAGTCAAAGCCTGGGTGGGGCAGCTAGTCCACAAAGGACAGCTGTGTTCACCTTCATTGCTGACACCTACAGCCATTTTCTGGTTTCCAAAACCTCCGTCTAGATAGGCCTTGGTTTCCCCTACAAAGGGATATTTACACCAAAATTCCTGGGTTGAAGCCAGCTGCTTCTTCCTCCTCTTTTAATTCTACCTCTGCCCCTTCCCCACTGGGCTTTGGTGTCAATAAGCCCTGTTCCCACACTCGTTGTGGTGTATCATTGATACACACTGGCATGAACTTCTCAAAGCTGCTTGGCAGCCTCCCCGTTCAAGCCTCAGGAAGGGAGGCAGTGATTATAAGTGGTCCTGAGTAGAGGCTCAAAAGGGAGGCTGGGGTGGATGGAGAGGACTCCAGGCTCAGCCAGAGGTTGGAGAGTTGTGCACATGGAAGCTGTTGAGGAGGCAGCATGGTTCAGCTTGTGACCACCACCAAGTGTGGTCAATGTCATGGAGGTGTCAGTGGGCACGAACTGATCCGTAATAGTTGGGAGGAAAGTAGGCGAAAAGATTTAAAGTGTGCTTCTCCTGAGGTTAAAAAAAAAAAAAGCAGTACTCTGCATTTTCTTACAAAACTGTTGCCAGCTGCTGCTCAGGGCCAACACCTATGGCCATTCGTCATATTACCAGAGCAGGAAGTGTGTCCTGGCTCCCCTTGCTTTCGTGGTGCTGGCTTGTGAAAGACAGAAGTGATTACCACAAAGATGGACTTACCAAACGCTGCCAAGGTTATCTCCTGTGTGTTCCACGTTTGAGGCCATTAACTGTTGACCTGTCCTAAGTCACGCTGTGGCCTCAGACTCATGATGGTTATGGTCCATCCCCGTGGTGGCACATTTCACAGAAAGGAAGGAGTGGAGCTAGCAGTGATTGCTGGCTAAACGCACCCCTAATGCTCAGAAAACATTCACCAAGTACAAGTCACTGTGTTACAAAAACATTAGCCCTAGAGATCCCATATTACACACATGTGATAACTAAAACCCATGAAGTTTTAAATATAGTTACAAGACAGATATTACTATTAGAATGCAGCCATTGTTGAAGCACAGCTTCACAGAAGAGAGAGACTTCCAACTTAAAAATCTACCTTGAGAGTTCTAGCATGAAGGATGCCTAGGTTATTAAAACACACCAAATATATTTGGATACTATGATCATATTTACCTTTAATGTAGCTCCCTGTTTCCATGAAAACTTACTCTATGTTCAGTTCTAATGAACCAACTTCTCATGGATAGAGCTATGGGTTTCTTCTTATTACTAAGAGTTTTGAAAATAATCATACTAGTAGATAAAAATGTGGAACTTGGAAGAAGAAAACTAGCTCTGAGGTTAGTCTCCTTGACAAGCCCGTACTTTTAGATTGTCAGAATTCTGCTGCTGTGATATGTGATGGGAAAGGAAATAAGGGAGGGAGGGAGGGAGGGAGGGA